GTCGGACAGGAGGGGCCGGGGCCCGCGAGCGGCTCTCACCGGGGCACCATGGATCGTCCGGGCTCGCTCGGCTGCCGGCGGCCGCGGCTCCAGCACAAACTTCTGCCCGGACCCTCCCTCAGCCACTCACTTCCGGCCCCCCGCCCCCAGCTCGGCCTCATCGGGCCCCGTCACGTGACGGGGGAGCGCTACGTTCCAGACAAACACCGGCGGCCGGAGACGAGCCAATAGGAACGCACGCTCCTTTCCACCCCGCCCAACGAGCGCCAGGGCGGAACGCACGCGCCCCTTCTCCTGGCTTGGCCAATGAGAGCGCAAGGGGAGCCGGGCGGGGACACGCCCCCTGCTGGACTTAGTCAATCGCGTCCCGGGCGATCACGTGAGGGGAGTTCGCCCCGCCTCCTCCGGCTGGACCAATGGGCGCGGGGGGCGGCGGCGTTTGAAAGCGGCGGTTGAGGTCGGTGGGGGAAGGAGGGGGGGCTGCGGGCGGGCGGAGGGCAGCGCGAGACCTACCAAGGCGTCGCGACGGCCCGGGAGCGCGCAGAGGCCGCCGGGAAGGGGGCGGACCGCGGGAGCATGGCGCACAAACAGATCTATTACTCGGACAAGTACGACGACGAGGAGTTCGAGTACCGGTGAGAGGGGGCGGGGCCGGCGCGCGGCCGGGGCGGGGCTCCCCCCGGGCCCGTGTCTGGCGGCTCCGGCCGGGGGCCAGGCCCGAACCCGGCCTTGCCGCGAGACGCGAGCCCGGGGATGTGGCCGGGCAGGGCCGCCCCCTGGAGCTGCGCGGGCGGGGCCTGGCGTCGAGTCTCTCACCCCGCCCTGACCCTGCTGTGTGGACAGGAAACACGGGCCTGACACGGGCCTAACCCCTTCCAGAAGCTTCGCTTCCAAGGCCGCCCCCCCCCCCGGGCGCAGGGTGCCCACCCCTGGGCTGACCGATGCCGATCCCCCGCCCCGTCTGGCCTGGGACCCTAGGGGAAGGGGGAGCGTGTGGCTCCCGGGGGAGCAGGTCACTGAGGGGCTGGTGGGTGAATGGTGAATGTACCTGTCATGTTGAATTCTTCCTCCTGCCTGCAGGCACGTGATGTTACCAAAAGATATCGCCAAACTGGTCCCTAAAACACACCTGATGTCTGAATCCGAATGGAGGAACTTAGGAGTTCAACAGAGCCAAGGCTGGGTCCATTACATGATCCATGAACCAGGTTAGTTGGCCATGATTCACGTCACTAAGCCTACGGGCTACTTCACTAGTCTGGGATCTTGATTAAAGTTATAGTCATTCTAGTCAGAATGAAAACTGAGGCTTCGTGATGCTAGATTTGATGGGGTTTGGCACACTTGGCGATGGCTGGGAGCCAAAATCCTATTGGGTACCGGATACGGGGCAGGTTTTGTGCTGCGTTCACATGTGTAATCATAATGACTTCAGTGGGAGTTAAATATAAGTCAGGAGAGTGGAATTTGGCCCCCAGCTGGCTTACTGCCTCAACAGCCGGAGCATCCAATTTCCTGCAATGCTAAAAGTCTGCAGCAGGCCGAGCCTTCTGTTCCTAATGGTGATGAGCGTTTAAAGGAGAACTGGATAAATTCATGGTGGTTAAGTCCATTAATGGCTACTAGCCAGGCTGGGTAAGGAACGGTGTCCCTAGCCTCTGTTTATCAGAGGGTGGAGATGGATGGCAGGAGAGAGATCACTTGATCATTGCCTGTTGGTCCCCTCCCTCTGGGGCACCTGTCATTGGCCGTTGTCGGTAGACAGGATACTGGGCTAGATGGACCTTTGGTCTGACCTGGTATGGCTGTTCTTATGTTCTTATATGAGCTTTGCAGAAAGAGACAGTGCCCATTTCAAAATCAGAATTTAGAGACTCCTGCTATTGCAGTTCCTTCCTAGGAGAATCCCTGCCCCCCTTTAATGGGATATAAACCCTGCTGCATGCTAGTGGGGCTGCTGTTTACGGTAGAGCTGTCCCCCAACTGGCCTGGGGAAAGAACTGAAGCTGAGTGTTCAGTTTGCCAAGTGAGGCACGGAAGGACAGGGTATTGTAGAAGTGATCTTTGTAGCAATAGGGGATGTTGTCCTGTTGTCATCAACCAACTGGGATTCCCTTTGTCTGCAAGTTTGAGCACATGGGGGAGACGTAATCTATAATGTGAGTATATAATGAGACACCTGGCTAAAGGGGCTTCTGGCAAATTAGATCAGACTGTCGGTATCAATTTACAGGGCTCCGGGTCTGTGGTTTTATTCCCTTTCTAAACATTGCAGACTAGGGAATAAGTGAACAGAACGCTTGTGCATTTTACCCTGCAGATTGTCCTAATGCTCTGCTCTCCATCCCCTCTCAGAGCCTCACATACTGCTGTTCCGACGGCCACTGCCAAAGAAGCCAGAAAAATGAACCTGTTACGTCTGACCTGTGTATAGAACCTCCCCTCTCTGTCTTCTCTTAGATACATGCACCTTTGGGGGCTTTGTCTCCTGTTTTAAATATCTGACACGTTTCAATACATTCAAACTCCTGGCGATTTAACTTCAAGCAAATCCAATCATCATGACAATAGTGGCTGGTAGAAAATGACTTGACTCAAAACTAGAGTCTGGCTTTTACATATGAAATATCCTGTTGTATAGAACCCAATGATTCTTACCTACTGAGTGTGTCAATGCTCTCCTGAGCACTACTTGAGCAAAGAGATTTTAACTGCAAAATCTAGACTTCAACAGTTGAACCATAAATATTTTAACATTGTTTGGCACATGATAGTTGCTGCTTGTACCTTATACTCCAGGGGGTATGTTGGACTTTATTCCAGGTGGACACTGTATCCACTTGCTTGGCATCTGCTTTAACACTGTTTGATATGTATTTTTGAATCTGTATTTTTGAATAATTTTTAAAGTTCTAGAAAGCCTGTTCAAAATCTGTGGTTGAAGTCCTTCAATAAAGAGGAAGTTTTTTTTAAATACATGGGTTTCCTCTCATTCATCTGAAACAATCCTCTCTGCCACCTTTTGTTGTCTAAACACTGGATATTGTTCCCCGCTCTCCCCCCCCCCCCCCGGGAGTGGGTGGTGCTAACACATGCCTTTGTTTTGTTTCATTAGTTTCAAGTGTTAATCCTCCACAGATGTGTAGAGAGAAATAACTTTGCAGGATTCTGGTAATGTGCCTTAATCTCATTTGCTCTCAGAAAATCTTTCCTAAAAGAGATGAGACTATTTAACTCTTTAAAAGGCTTATTACCTCACTACTAAGTACCCAAGGATTCTCTAAAAATGTCTAAGACACGCCCCCACCCTTTGTCTACAAAATTAGCCTTGATGCCCTAACATGAACTTTTGGTCCAACAAGGCAATAATCATAGATAGTAAGAGTTTAAGTATGGTTAGGTCTGCAGCATTCAAGGTTTAGAACAGGGGTCCTCAATCTGGGGGTTGGAACCCCTTAGGGGGTCACAAGGTTATTACATGGGGGTCATGAGCTGTCAGCCTCCACCCCAAACCCCGCTTTGCCTCCAGCATTCATAATGGTGTTTAAATATATAAAATAGTGTTTTTAATTTATAAGAGGGGGTTGCACTCAGAGTCTTGCTATGTAAAAGGGGTCACCAGTGCAGAAGTTTGAGACCCACTGGTTTAGAAGACCTCCCACTGTCTAACTAGATGGCTAAAGCAGGTTTTCCTAGTGGGGAGATTTCCTATGTCCTTTTTGGAGTCTGTATCTGCAATTGATGTACAGCTCCTCTGCTTTTCTCATAGAGAAACAGGTCAAGCACTTGACTCTGGGTAGCTGCAGGCCTCTGACTTCTTGAACCCTAGTCAGCCCCCTTACTGGCAGCTTTTTTTAGTGGGTCATGACTGAGCAGTGAAGCAAGGAGCTAGTTCAGTGTAAAGTGGTATGGGCAGGAACCATGCCCCTAGTGCTAACTGCCAACAGCTAATAATACTTGAAACAGTCTACCCGAGCCAGCTCCAGCCTGGTGTCCATAGGCAGGGCCCCATGGTGTAGGGAGGGAAGGGTAGCAAGCCCGATTCCTGCACTGTGCCACAATCCCAGTACCATGAAACTCGCAGGAAAGGGTGCATGCCTAGCACCCCTTGGGCTGGGCAGCGAGCCCATGCCAGGATCCCAGCACCGGGGGGAAGGATGCCGAGATAGGGCCTCATGGGGTGGGCAGGCAGCGAGCCCAGATCCGGGCCCAGGGGAGGGTGCCAAGGTAAGGCCTCGGTGGGCAGCGAGCCCAGATCCAGGACCTGGGGAGGGGGCAGGGAAGGATGCTGAGGTAGGGCCTCGTGGGGTGGGCAGGCAGTGAGCCCAGATCTGGGCCCAGGGAAGGGTAT